TGGTGTCAGCCTAGCTCACAGCAACCTCAAACTCCTGGGCTCAAGCAATCCTACTGCCTCAGCCTCCCAAGTAGCTGGGACTACAGGCATGCACCACCATGCCCAGCTTACTTTTTCTATATATTATTAGTTGGCCAATTAATTTCTTTCTATTTATAGTAGAGACGGGGTCTCACTCTTGCTCAGGCTGGTTTCGAACTCCTGACCTTCGGCAATCCGCCTGACCTTTGGCAATCCGCCCGCCTCGGCCTCCCAGAGTGCTAGGATTACAGGTGTGAGCCACCATGCCTGGTCATAAATAAATATAATTTAAATTCTAATCAATTAAAAATCATCTGGGAATGTGTGCAGTAGCTCACACCTATAATCCCAGCACTTTGGGAGGTTGAAGAGGGAGGATTGCTTAAGGCCAAGAGTTCAAGGCCAGCCTAGGAAACATTATGAGACTCCCATCTCTAAAAAAAATTTTTAAGAATCAGCTGCTGTGGTGGTGTGCACCCACAGTCCCTAGTTACTTGAGAGGCTGAGGCAAGTGGATCACTTGATCCAGGAGTTCAAGGTTGCAGTGACCTGTGATCATGCCACTGTGCTCAGCATGGGGGACAGAGTGAGACCTTATCTCAAAATACAAACAAAAAAACATTCTGTTATAGGAAACCTCAATGAGGGAAATAATAAGACTATAAAGGTCTTAAGAAAAATATAAATTATTCCATTCTAATCTCTTCAGACAGAAGAGAAGTAATGAACTAAAAGACACCCTAGAGATGTTTTCTGAAAGAGCCAGCAATACCCTCTCCCAGTACCACTCACAGGGCTGCTGCTCCTGCTGCCTGGGCTGCTGCCACACTGGGCCTTTCTCACCATGCCAGCAACACTCAGAGACTAACACACGGTGATGATTCCCTGTGCCCGCTTCACTGACCACTGACACCCCCATGCTATAGTGCATGTGGCTGTGCCTGGCCAAAGGGGTTGGAATTCTGCATTTCTGGGCCTGGTAACTGGTGTTTAAACAGTCGGCAGTGAGGGTCAACACACTGCTGACTTCTGAGCCCCAACCAAACTGAACATAGCAGTATTTCCCACCTTGACTGGTCTCAGCCTTACCCTCGGTGTATCCAAGCAGACATCCTGTTTTATGCTATAAACCTTAGAATTTATTTATTTATTTTTTGGGGAGACAAGAGTCTCACTCTGTTGCCCAGGCTACAGTGCCGTGGCATCAGCCTAGCTCACAGCAACCTCATACTCCTGGGCTCAAGCAATCCTTCTGTCTCAGCCTCCCAAGTAGCTGGGACTACAGGCATACGCCACATGGCTGGCTAATTTTTTCTATATATTTTAGTTGGCCAATTAATTTATTTCTATTTATAGTAGAGACGAGGTCTCGCTCTTGCTCAGGCTGGTTTCGAACTCTGACCTTGAACAACCCTCCCACCTCGGCCTCCTAAAATGCTAGGATTACAGGCGTGAGCCACCTCGCCCGGTCTATAAACCTTAGACTTTAATCCAGAATTTTCTTGTCAGATTTTTCTGAGTCCATTCTTGGCTAATTACTGACTTTGTTGGCCTCAGGGCAGGGCTGGCAATATTTTAGGGTTTAGTGGCAGCAGTAGATGAGTTATCCAGGAGGATGGATTGCTTTTATCGCCTTCTCCCTTTGTAGAGTCAAAGGACATGGAAGTGAGAGAGCCAGGAGTCCAAGCCCAGGACACAGCCACTGTACACATGGGCTCAGCTGAGCCGAAGATGTCTTCGGGAACTTGTGTGGCAAAGAAGCACCGGCTCAGGCCGCGCACGGTGGCTCACGCCTGTAATCCTAGCACTCTGGGCTGAGGCGGGCAGATTGCTCGAGGTCAGGAGTTCGAAACCAGCCTGAGCAAAAGCGAGACCCCATCTCTAGTATAAACAGAAAGAAATTAATTGGCCAACGAATATATATAGAAAAAATTGGGCATGGTGGGACATGCCTGTAGTCCCAGCCACTCGGGAGGCTGAGGCAGCAGGATTGCTTGAGCCCAGGAGTTTGAGGTTGCTGTGAGCTAGGCTGATGCCACAGCACTCACTCTGCCTGGGCAACAAAGTGAGACTCTGTCTCAAAAAAAAAAAAAAAAAAAAAAAAAGAAGCTCCAGCTCAGAGCAAAGGTACCACCTGGAGCTGCCTGGGGCAGCTATGGCACAAAGTAATCCCAAAGAGGACGCGTACTTCTCTTTGTCGGCCTTGTAGATATGGGCTATCTCTGGTACCAGAGGATCATCAGGGTTGGGGTCACAGAGTAGGGAGCAGATGGACAAGAGAACTGGGAAGAAAAGAAAAGAAAAGGTCCGTTACCTGCAGCCATGAGGTTGTGGGTTACCCAAGGGTCCAGAGAACCTTCCTGAACTCACACTATCTATTGACCAAGCAATTGTCTTCCCTTCAATGTCCCAATCTAAACTGTCTGCTTAATACTCCACCAGCTCTGCCCCATGTATTGGCTAAAGGGCAGTCTCACTGTGAACTTCACAGTACAGCCCCAGGCACCCTGCACTAGGACACTTCCCTCCTCAGTGAGTCCGGTTCTCATTCCCCTTCTCTTCTCAAGTGCCCTGTCTTTGCCTCCAACTGCCCATGCCACCCGGGGCCTGCATCCCATACCACACACCTTTGATGTTTGGTCCCAGGAGCCCTATTTACTGATAAAAAAAACAGGAGTTCAGAATAGTCAGGTAACCTGTCCAAAGTCACAGATTTGGAACACTCAGTATATGGGTAAAAACCAGACTGTGAACCAGGTTTGTGTGACTGCAAAGCAAATGAATTCCTGCTCCTACATGCCACCACTGTCTCTGACACGTGTGCTCAGTGTGGCTCTCAGCAACTCTGGAGAAAGGGAATCACCCCACCTGGGCCATGACAAGGAGAAGGAACTGTGGTGCCCAGACAGAAGTGTGGCCTATCACTACTGGCTTTGATCTTGACTCACTATATGACTCCAGACAAACTGGCTCTGGCCAGTTCATCCAAGTCCTGAACACAGTTCCCCACAGTAAAGCTACAAATGGGAGGGGCAGGTTGCCTTTCTCAAGATCCTCAACCCCACTACTGTTCTGAGCGCAGAGGCTATGAAAAGGGCTGCAGACTTCCCTCCAGGTCACTCAGGCCCACCTGCCCTTCCTCCCTCCCTACAACTTGAGTGCCCGCTCCCTGCCACTCCACTTTCCTCTCTTGTTCCTAACCCTGCACCTAAGGCCACACTGGCCCTGGCTCTGCATCTAGCAGACCCCAAAAGCTGGTAGACTGTGATGGCTGCCTTCCTCCTTATACTTTTCCCCTGGGATAAGGCTATATACTCAACGCTCAACTCAGAGAGGAGCTATTTCAGCAGGATGTTGGGCTATTTCCTGGATGCTTGAGCCTGGTGAGCATGCTCTGCCACTACAGAGATTTGTACCATGTTGCAGGGGCAGGGGGTTGTGTCCCTCTGGACTGACCATGTCCACTTCTGCAGGGCCTGTCTAGCCTCCTAAAGCAGCTTTCCTGGTGCCTTGTGGCCTCTTCCAACTGCCCAGGGCTCTGCTGCCTACATTCTCTCATATTCTACTCCCAGCTTATTTCTTAGGCTTGGGACTCTTTCTCTCAGGTTGATTTTTTTTTTTTTTTGAGACAGAGTCTCGCTTTGTTGTCCAGGTTAGAGTGAGTCCCGTCTCGTCAGCCTGGCTCACAGCAACCTCAAACTCCTGGGCTCAAGCAATCCTGCTGCCTCAGCCTCCCGAGTAGCTGGGACTACAGGCATGCACCACCATGCCCGGCCAATTTTTTCTATATATATATTAGTTGGCCAATTAATTTCTTTCTATTATAGTAGAGATGGGGTCTCTCTCTTGCTCAGGCTGGTTTCGAACTCCTGACCTCGAGCAATCTACCCCCCTCGGCCTCCCAGAGTGCTAGGATTACAGGCGTGAGCCACCACGCCCGGCCCTCAGGTTGATTTTTCACCATGCTACCCACATTCCAGGACACTGGACCATCTCCATTCAGGCTTCCCATGCACCCACAGCCCATGCTCAGCCCATCTTAGCTCAGAAGGAATATCTGCATTTCTAAAGTCCTGTTTAGACTGATTTCTTCAACCTCATCCAGAGACATGTTCAAAATCCCTTATTTTGGGGAGGATCTCTCCACTGACTGCAAGGACCCTGGGAGCAGGAACTGTATTTCTTCCTTCAGGGCTGACTCACAGTCCTCCTTGGTACTTGTTGGATGAATTAATGAGGGAGAAAGTAATATAATATTTGCCTTCCTTATTTTTAGATAAAAAGTAGAATCAACATTTCCTTCTTGCACCCATGAATCTCAAGCACCCCACAGGAATTGACTACTGAGAACCATCAGGGTGGGGAGCACTGGGTTCTGCTGACACCACCTCCGGGCAGTGCAGGACATCCACATGGGCACGCAGTGGGTGGGGCTGTGTGACCTGGGAAAACTGCCTGCTCTGAGTCCCCATTTCTACCGTCAGTGCTGAGGAGAAAACTCGAGAGACGGCACAGGGAGCATGCTGTCAGTGTTTCTACCTTTTGATACGGTCAGCGCTGGAGACCACTGAGACCGTAGGATATCGAGGCAGATGCTGCCATTACTGTTGATATTGGGGTGATAAATTTTGGTTGTGAAAGCAACCTGCAGAGACAAGAGATCTCAAGTTAGACAAATCACAGGAACATCTGGAAAATGAACTAAGTAAAGCAGAAGTAGCCGCTGCTGGACTGTACCTGCAGTGTGCTGTGCACCCAGCCTCAGTCCTGGGTGAGCTGGACCCCCACTCACAAGCCCTAATGGGATAGAGGAGTTGGTAATCACTCAGGAGAAGTTCCCTAACCCTGTAGTCCCCAACCCCCAGACCATGAACCGGTACTGGTCCGTGGCCTGTTAGGAACCAGACAGCACAGCAGGAGGTCACTGGCAGGTGAATAAGCAAAGCTTCATCTGTATTTACAGCTGCTCCCCAGCAGCTCCCCATTGTTCACATCATTGCCTGAGCTCCGCCTCCTGTCAGATCAGTCACTGTCTACAATCACCCTCAGTTGGACTGTCTAGTTGCAGGAAAACAAGCTCAGGGCTCCCATTAATTCTGCATTATGGCAAGCTGTCTTGAACTCCTGAGTTCAAACGATCCACTTGCCTTGGCTTCCCAGAATGCTAGGATTACAGGCGTGAGCCACCACGCCAGCCACATTATAGCAAGCTGTATAATTATTTCATTATATATTATAATGTAATAATAGAAATAAATGCACAATAAATGTAATGTGCTTGAATAATCCCAAAACCATCCTCCATGGCCAGGTACGGTGGCTCATGCCTGTAATCCTAGCACTCTGGGAGGCCGAGGCGGGCGGATTGCTCGAGGTCAGGAGTTCGAAACCAAAACCATCCCCCACTGCCCTAGTCTGTGGAAAAACTGTCTTCTATGAAACCAGCCCCTGCTGCCAAAAAGATTGGTGACTGCTACCCTAATCTATTCCCTGCTAGACTCTCATTCTGAACATAGGGCAATGTTTTTTAATGCTATCCTTCAGAAATGAGAACGTAAGGGGATTAATACCATCTCTCCCAAAGTAGTGCACTCTGAGGATTAACATGAGTGGTGGAAAGGACTCGAGGCCCAGAAGTTCTATGCAAAAAACAATGACTCTGATTACTGATACAATGAGGAAACATAGCTACTACAGGGAAACAGCTCTACAGAATTCACTTCTCATCCCTTGTTTAACTGCTTATTTTGGTCTAGCTGACTTGGACACGATTTGCTATTTCAGTCATCATTGGTCTTGGCTGGACACAAGGCATAGATATTTTGTTGACATAAGATATATTATCAGCAGAAAAACCCAGGCCATGGGCCCTCTGCCAGACCACAGATCCTCTCCTCTTTCTATTTCACCCTTTATAAGACCACCCTTCTCAGAATTTAGCCATCAAATACCTTTGCAGATTTCAAATATGCAAGGATACTCACTGTAGCAAAAGATATGAAACCACCTGAATGGCTTCCAATTGATTACTGATGAAATTAGTGTTACATATATGCAAAAGAATATTATACAACTATTTAAAAAGAATGAAGTGAATTTAAAGAGAATGAATATGCTCATATGAAACAATATCCAAGATGTATTGCTAACAGGAAAAACAAGATGCAGTTACATGGAAAAATCTGTTCCATTCATGGGAGAAATAAGGGAGCACACATAGGTGCTTGTACAGGTATAGATTATGCCTAAAAGAAGGAAAATACAAGTAGGACTCAGTGTCTCTGGGGGAAAGGAGGCAAGGGCTAGAGACACAAAGTATACAGAAGGTAAAAAGGTCCTATTTTCATTATATGTCTCCTTCCCTTTGACCTTTTTATTTTTCTTTTTTAAAACCACAGCCACACATTACTTCTTCAAATGACCTCCCTGGGTCTCAGATCTCACTATAGACAAGGCCATGGCACCTCTCCCAGGGCTGTTGTGGGCCTTATGGAGTCAGCTCTTGTGATGTGCAATGTGCTCAAAGTCAGGTGCAGCTTTTACTGTTATAGGAACATGATGAGGGCCGGGCGCGGTGGCTCACGCCTGTAATCCTAGTACTCTGAGAGGCCGAGGCGGGCATCTCTGGGAGGCCGAGGCGGGCGGATTGCTTGAGGTCAGGAGTTCGAAACCAGCCTGAGCAAGAGCGAGACCCTGTCTTCTACTATAATAGAAAGAATTAATTGCCAACTAATATATATAGAAAAATAGCCGGGCATGGTGGCGCATGCCTATAGTCCTAGCTACTGGGAGCTGAGGCAGAAGGATTGCTTGAGCCCAGGAGTTTGAGGTTGCTGTGCAGGCTGAGGCTGCGCCACTGCACTCACTCTAGCCTGGGCAAAAAGCGAGACTCTGTCTCAAAAAAAAAAAAAAAAAAAATTAAAGTTTAGGTGTAAAGAAGCATTTAGTGTTAGTTAATTGTATGTCTTCTTAATTGTATATAAGTTGTGTCTTACAAAGGATGGTGTCTTGGATTTGAAGAAACAAAAGAACTGAGTGTATATCCATGGGTGCTTAATTCTCTTTCTCTATTAATACTTGAACTGAACCTCCTTTCCTTTTTCAGGACCCTTTTATCATTGTTTTTGTAAAAATAATTATTATACAACCTTAACCACATAGTCTTTTTACAATATAAAGTATTATATATTTATTGATTAGTAATATATTCCCATGGTTCAAAATACAAAATGTACAAAGGACATACAGGAAAAAGTGTCCCACCCAAACCTGTCATCAGCCCTGATTCCCCTCCTTGGGACTAACCAGTGTTATTAGCTTATTAAGTATTCTCCAGAAATATACAAATAATATATATTCATTGTACCCCTTTTCCTCCCCTTTTAATAATACTAATGGTAGGGCGGGCGCAGTGGCTCAGGCTTCTAATCTAGCACTCTGGGGAGCCAAGGCGGTGGATGTTTGGAGCCAGCTGTTGGAAACCAGCCTGAGCAATGAGCCAAACCCCATCCCTACCAAAGTAGGAAAATTAGCCAAGACCATGGTGGTGCATGCCTGCCTATATATAATATATATATTTTTTTTTATTTTTTTTTTTTGAGATAGAGTCTCACTCTGTTGCCCAGGTAGAGTGCCATGGCGTCAGCCGTCAGCCTAGCTCACAGCAACCTCAAACTCTGGCTCAAGCGATCCTCTTGCCTCAGCCTCCTGAGTAGCTGGGACTACAGGTATGCACCCACCA